TTCCTGCTCCTGATCCTCCTCCTCATCATCATCATCAGGAAGACGTAAATTCTATCCTCCTGCTCCTCCTCCTCATCATCATCATCATCAGGAAGACGTAAAGTTTATCTTCCAGCTCCTCTGTTCCTGCTCCTCCTCATCATCATCATCAGGAAGATGTAAAGTTTATCCTCCTGCTCCTCTTCCTCCTCCTCCTCATCATCATCAGGAAGATGTAAAGTTTATCCTCCTCCTCCTCCTCCTGCTCCTCCTCCTCATCCTGCTCCTGATCCTCCTCATCATCACCATCATCATCAGGGCGTGCCGTTTGCACGGGTCCTCGCGACTTTTTCTCTCTAGTCTTCACGGGCATCCATTGAGCCTGGTAGACCTTCATGTTGGAATCCTGCGTCGCTACACTTTTGCTAAATGGATGTTTTGAATCGGTGACCAATACTAGTGTGTCCTTGTTTTGGTGTCTACAACAGAAGGCTGCTGATATCCCCCCCCCCACAATTCTTCTCTCTACAATGACTTGTGAGATGAGAAGTAGATGTGCCATGCGTGATACACGCTTAGGCGATCATGTATCTTTCGATACATGACTGACAAGGCAGATTTTTTCCGCAGTAGGTTGCAATTTCTTAGTGCGGTAGACCAATTGCCATTCAAGGCGAAAGAACACAGTCTGTTCTGCTATTTACCTATAGCTGGGGGAGAAGAAGAGGATTCATACCTTTCCCAAGGGTATTAGCATGTAAGTGAATGTAATGGTTTCGACTGGGATTGGAACTCGGCTGTCCGATTCCTCAATCTGAGCCGCTATCCATAGAACTGTTTTTTTTTTATAGGGTGCTGTTTCTAGGATAGATTGAATGCTACACACAGCAACCGTGTATATGTGACATCAAGCTTATTTTTCAACCGTTTTCTCCACGTCTATGTGGTACAATCATAGAGCAAGACAGATACGGCGATAGCTTGGAAGAAATCTCCTTTCTTTTTTTCGGTAAAACAGATTTCCAGCTCTGGTCCGTCTGTTCATTGTAACTCCTTCGTTGTCATTGGGAGTGTTCACATCACATGTAATGGAAGATGTTTTACTTCCAAGATAAATGAACTGATCGGCCATTTTTAGTGGCATATATTTCACGAGATTGATGGAGCCTTGTTACATAAAGACCATGAACTCTGTTTTGTTTGCATTTGTATAGAGACCGATTCCATTTTCCAGATTGTGTAATATTTTTTTTAAGGCAATTCACACAAGCAAGGCTGGAGTGCCACTAGCACGCAATGGGTTACAGAGGATTGAGAACAAGAGTAAAGAGGCGTGTTTTGGGAAAGGATACAAAGAAGGACAGGGAACAAACTCAGGGGTGTCAGATGTCGATTGATATTACACTTGAATATTTGAAGATTATAGTAATCGGGGAAGCAAGTAAGAGGAAGGGAGTTCCACATACGGGAAGTGCGGGAGAAGAAGATGTTTGAGAAGAAAAGACGGTTATATTTAACCGTTTTGACAGTGAAAGGGTGGGACCGAGATGCCAACCTGGTAGCACGTTTAAATTCATGTCGTCCGGGAATCAGCGAAAGTAACTCATCGGAACAGTTGCCGTGAAAATATTTGTAGAAGAGACAGAGGGAAGCCATGGCATGTCTGTGGGATAGCGATTGTAGACTAGATGCCAGATCAGGACCTATCATCTTGCATAATCATCTCTGGATTTTGTCGAGGACCTCGATATGTACAGCGCGAGCGCCAAACTGTATATGACAGCAATATTTCATGCAAGGACGGATGGTTGATTTGTAGATTTGGAAGATAGACTCAGGTGAGAAAAAACTTTCTGGCACGACACAGAGAACCAAAAATATTGATTCCGCCTGTGCAATTTTATTTGCAAAGAATGCAAAGTTGTTGGCATAATATGCATCTGTGATCGTTTTTGCTGCATACTTCTTTGTTCTTTCGGGGTCCATTTTTCTTGACTTTGTCGACAAAGTCCACAATACATAATCGTGACATACGAAGGTCGGCTGAACAGATCATAGGCCGACCAAGATAGACACAGAACAAGTAGACACACTAGTCAGTTCAGTTATGTGCCATGCGTGATACACGCTTAGGCGATCATGTATCTTTCGATACATGATTGGCGAGGTAGATTTTTTTCCCGCAGTAGGTTGCCATTTCTTTCTGCGGTAGATCAGTTGCCATCCAAGGCTATAGAACCCAGTCTGTCCTGCTATTTACCCATAGGTGGGGAGGAGGAGAAGTGGAGGATTCATACCTTTCCCAAGAATATTAGCACGTAAGTGAATGTAATGGATTGGACTGGAATTCGAACTCGGCTCTCCGATTTTTCAATCCGAGCCGATATCCTTTACTCCTACCAGTCGTATCCATTACAAAATACGAAAAAGTAAATAATAACGGAATTAATCGTTTTGTTTGAATTAATTTGCATAAGGGTATATATATATATATATATATATATATATATATATATCAGTCAGTTATGTTCCATGCGTGATACACGTTTAGGCGATCATATATCTTTCGATACATGACTGACGAGGCAGATTTTTTTTTCCCGCAGTAGGTTGCTATTTCTTTCTGCGGTACACCATTTGCCATCCAAGGCTATAGAACCTGGTCGTTACACACAGCTGGGGGTAGAAGAAGAGGATTCATACCTTTCCAAAGGTAAGTGAATTTCAGTCAATTATATACCTTGCATGATACACACTTAGGCGATCATGTATCATAAGTGAATGTAATGGATCTGACTGGAATTCGATTTCTCAATCCGAGCCGCAATCCATTGCTCCACCTTACCTTATATACATATATACATACATACATATATATGAAAATTTCTCCGATTTAACCAGTAGAAAGACAATATTTATGAATAAAAATGACAATAGGAAAACTAGTAATTGCTGACGCGTTTCGTCCAATGTGGACTTTATTACATTTTTCGTATTTTGCTTTGATAAAGTCCACATTGGACGAAACGCGTCGCAATTACCAGTTTTCCTATTGTCATTTTATTCATAAACACACACACACATATATATATATATATATATATATATATATATATATATATATATATATGTGTGTGTGAAAATATATAAATATAAATAAATATATATATGTATAATTATTTATATATATATATGCGCGGTACTTATTAGAAATTAGAGATAGAGCTAACATATTTGGTTATATATATATATATATATATATATATATATATATATATAATTAAAAAATAAACAACTCTGGTGCTTAATTTCTTCTAATGATTTAGTGAGACAGCTGCATCTCCACCACCCGATAGTGTAAAAAGATCTTCTTCTATGTCTCCCCACATTATCCTGTCTTTAGTAAGTCTTAACAATTTTTGTCTTATGTCATATCTCCCAAATCTTTCTCCACCATTCGTTGTGATCAAGCTCTCCAGTTACGTTATACGCTGCTTTCCTCTGTCTATCTTTCCTTCAATCGGTCTTATCAATATCAAAATTTCCAAAACGTTTTTGGGCTTACAGCTGCATCACGTTGAAACACCGTACGGTCAACGAGGTTAAGCAACGTCGAGCCTGGTTAGTACCTATATGAGTAACCGCTTGAGAATAGCAAGTGTTGTAAGCTTGGATGTGTGGGTCGTGTAATGCATAATGGTTCGGAATTGTTAATCATAGATGCGAGTTGCAATTCCGCTTGCGTTTGTTATATTCACTTACTCGCAAATACCATTGCTAAATGTAGGAATCCACCACTTCTCCCTAGCTATGGATTAATTAGTAAGACTTGTATCACTAAAAGCATCATTATCATCCCCCACCCGGCAAAAATATTATGTAAAAAATATTTAGATTTCGGCATTAAATAACCCATAGTGGTTAATATTACGTTAAAAATATCAACCAAACCAAACCAAACCAATCAAAATATTGAGATTTCAGCGTTAAATAAGCCATAAAGGTTGATATGCCTCTAAATAAAATCAACCAAACCAAACCAAACCATTCGAAATATTTAGATTTCGGCATTAAATAAGGCATATAGGTTGATATGCCGCTAAACAAAATCAACCAAACCAAACCAAACCAATCAAAATATTTAGATTTCGGCATTAAATAAGCCATAGTGGTTGATATGCCGCTAAACAAAATCAACCAAACCAAACCAATCAAGATATTGAGATTTCATCGTTAAATAAGCCACAGAGGTTGATATGCCGCTAAATGAAATCAACCAAACCAAACCAAACCAAACCCAACCAATCAAAATATTTAGATTTCGGCATTAGAGGTTGATATGCCGCTAAATAGAATCAACCAAACCAAACCAATCAAAATATCTAGATTTCGGTATTAAATAACCCATAGTGGTTGATATGCCGCTAAGCGAAAACAACCCAACCCAACCCAACCAAATAAAATATTTAGATATCGGTATTAAATAACCCATAGAGGTTGATATGCCGCTAAATAAAAGCAGCCAAACCAAGCCCTCTTTCCTCATGATGTGTCACAGAAATTTCAACACTTCCTGATGTTCAGCATAAGAGTCCTTTTTGTTGTCATTGTTTCTAGAACTTCATCTTTGCCCATATATTCGGTCCATGGTACTCTCGGCATCCTTGTACGTAGCCCAATATACTCATCATATTACCCAGTCTGAGAAGTGTATTCCAGGTACATGCCTCGGAGCCAAACGTGTTCGATATCGTGACAAGTTTCGATAGAAGTAGCGAATAACCTTTCAGGTGGGACCCAGTTAGAAAAACCTTCAGATCAAGTAAACATGTTTGTTTAAATGGTCTGCCGATTGAGGATCTTCCCAAGTATCTAGATGTGACTACCAAATTACCGTGACTCCCTCATCCTTAAAACAACAACAAAAAACGGTCTCGATATACGCGCATGATGTTCCTCCATTACTTCTGATCATGTCCGACTTTATTATTATTATTATTATTATTATTTCTTTTCGACTTACGTCCACATTATGTTGAAACATCGGTTCTCGTACGATCAGCGAAATTAAGCAACGCCGAGCCTGGTCAATACCTAGATGGGTGACCGTTTGGGATTATCAGGTGCTGTAAGCTTGCATGTGCAGGTGGTGCAATGGATAAAGGCTCAGAATTGTTAATCAGAGAACAGAGTTCCAATTCCAATTGGGTTCGTTATATCCACTTACGCGCAAATACCCTTGGGTCCGCCTCTTCTCCCCACCATGGATTAATTATTATTTCGAAAATATTCTTAAAATCTATTAAAAAAAAAGAAAAACCAAAACATTTTCTAGCTTTAGATAATCTGGAAAGGTTGGTGAAAAACAAACCAATGAATAAATTAATTATTATAAAATCATACACTTCATGCACTACAGTTTTCTTAGCTACCCGCTTTCTTGCTATTTTTTCAATGTATAATTTGTATTCGTTCAGTCTTCATAATTTTTGGTAGAGAACAAGTGGCAGCAAGTTTCGTTATTATTATTATCACTTTTTATGCTAATGATGTTCTGAGCATGGTTCCATTTCTTCCATTTTGTTAATGTCAGCAAGTCTGTCACTACTCATGGCGAATATTCCGACGCTCTACATTCTTTAGTTCCACCAGTTCGAACCTTTGCAGCTAAAACCTTTACAGCCACAGGGTCGAATCGTCCTCAGTCCTTTCATATTCCATTTGTAAGAAGGAAATTCCCTTCTTCTAGAGAACAGCGGCTTTATGGAAAAAATCCCAAGAGGATGATTCCCCGATCATTACAATCTTCATGTATAGGACGAAAAAAATCTGTTATCTATCTCACATATCTTCATAATCAGCACTTACTTATATACAACAACAACCTCGTTTATTAATCCTCTAACTTGAGTGACTCTTGGGGCTTGTATTGGGTGAACATTTAGCAAAAAAAAAAAATCTAGGTTTTGGCAGTTTGAATTACCAGGATTTCCTCTCTCGTTTCCAATAACAGTTTACTTGTTTCAATTTAATCCAAAAGTGGATATAATAAAAACGAAGTAACAACATCGGAAATTCCAAGTTTGTTTAAGTGTTTGACTGACTGCGACATCTCCTTAGGTAGGCAGTTGGACAGAGGTTGAGTTAGTTTTAAGAGTGGACGGTCTCTTAAAAAATGTCGTTTTAGTGTTCCTCGATGCTGATAAGAACTGCACAGTTCGGTCGATAAATGTCATTTTTCTACTTTTTCTTTCTCTGCTCGACCCAACCCATTTCCCCAAATCTGTCCAAATAACCAAACATCAGAATTTTAAAAAATCCCTTCTTGGTCAAACCGAGAACATAACAGCGCTGTCGTATGAAGTATTTCTTGAGGAGCGGGGTCAGTTTATTACTTAATAACAATAGAAAACTGATCCTACATTTTATGTTCAGTATTTTTCCCGTTTTTTTTCTTTTCTTTTTAAACTTTTGAACCGGGATTTCTTACTAAACTATCAAATAAGGAGAATCATTGGGACAAAATGCCTTTGACGGGTGGGGGAGGAGGGAAGAAATAGAAAAATTTAAAAACGAAAAGAACAAAAAAAAAAATGAAAAATGTAAATTGGTTTCTGCTAGAGCGAATACTATACTCACATAGGCCAGCAAGCAAGTGGTTGTCTGCTTATCGTCTTGAAGGTGACTGAATATATGGCTTACCTTATGTCCAAGCGTCGACCTGGTTGGGAGTGGGGAAGGAATCAACGGCCAATCCTCGGCCCACACCAACTAGTGGGCTTGGGAGGTATGCTTTCAACAACATTTAGAAAGAGGAGATGGAGCGGCTAGACAATTCCAATTTCAGACATCATATCAAGCAAAAAAAGATACTGTCACAACATCGTTAGAATACTGACAAGACACCCTCGCATCTAGTCAAAGACATTCAATTTTCCATTTTTCCCGTTTTTTTTCCTTTTTTTTTTTTAACTTTCGAACCGGGATTTCTTACTAAAATGTGTGTGTGTGTGTGTATTTCCGGTGTGTGTGTGTGTGTGTGTATATATATATATATATATATATATATATATATAGAAAATATAGTTTTAAGGTGTGCTATATTTATGGGATAAAGTACTCAGTATCAGAGATAGAGCGTATGTAAATATAATTATAAAAGTGAACATTGAAGTCAACATTCAGAGGCGACAGGCTGTTTCATGCTCAACACAATCGTCAGGCTGACAATTGCGTTTAGCATAAAACAGCCTGTCGCCTCTGAGTGTTGACTTCAATGTTCACGTTAATAATTATATATATATATATACTAGCTTAAAAGCTGCCCTATTGGGCGCCATTCAAACTAATTCCACAAGGTGTTGAAGTTTCAATCCTTCATTGGGCCTTCATCACAATAAGTAGGGGAGGAGTAGATGCGATAGGCAACAATAAACTACAGAAAAACTCAAAATTGAGCGTTTTAACCTGACCTTCTAAAAGTTCAACGATAATCCTTCTGTCGCCACTTAATTTAAAGACAATTTGATGACAGTAGGTTCGTGCAAACAACTTTTTTATTTCATGGGTCACTGTCGCTGGATTTTGCAATTAATTTCGATTATTCCCAAATTTATTTCCAAGTTATAAAAACTCTTATCGTACAAAAAAAAAAAAAAAAATTCGTCGCAAAAAATGCAACGAGGTAGCTGCTCGCTATCCAAAAAAAAGTTGTTCCAGGAATGCTTCTATCTATGGAAACGACACTGGATAATGTGTGTGGCTTCAGAAGTGGACTATTTTGAAGGTGATTAGATGCCGAATTGATATGTGTTGTAGTTTTATTTTTTTCGCACCAGTCCCGTTACTATTTTCTTGACCCCAAACTTGACCTCCAGCGTTAGCCAAACGTTGTAGTAATGATGCAAAGTGCCGCAGTTGAAATCATTCCGGTGTTATATCGAAATAAAATGTCGCCGCCGACACTTGAGTTTGAACATAGATCGTCAGTGATAAAACACAGGCGATCCCATTATTGAATTAAGTAGACCACGTGACCAGAGAAGAAACGCATATATGTAGGAAGTAGCTGACGACTAACGATTTCCATTTCTACTCTATCCTCTATTACTATAAGGACCGCTATTCTCTACTCTATTCACTATACTATTTCTCTATTCGAATCACTATACAGATTATTATTCAAGCGACTATTATCGAGCAAGTACTATTAGTGAGAATGATATTCGAAGGCGTCTGACACTAGTATTGTTCAACGGCGTACTATATTTGTATCTGCGATTACAAAGTCTCTACTACAACGAGCATTACAAAAGTGACAGCGAGTATTCGTTGACATCACAAAAGTGTCAAACGAGTGTTCATTGACATCACAAAATTCGCATTTGTAAAATAACATTAGAATAGGTTTTTCTATACTTAACAATACTTATAGTAATTATAAGTTTTCTTTAAGTATTTAAAAAAAAAAGAGGAGGATCTGTAATTTAGATGATGAAGGCTCGTTCGAAATTCTTCCTGAAATTAATCATTTATTTTCTGTTACTCTAACGTTACTAGGCAGCGTATTTGCTACGTTACAAGTGAACGTTGTGAGAAGTCGACCAAAAAGATTCCCAAGTTGGCATCTACTCGGGTGACACCACAATTTACTCCTGTCTCAAAAACAAATCTAATGTCAGTGACAAAACTAACCTGGCCGTGCGTCTCGAAAAGGACCTCCAATCGGTTGTGAACTGGGGCAGCAATTGACTGGTCAACTTTAATGCCTCAAAAACAAAACTGCTCTCTATTAATCACCACAGAGATCCTTCCCTGCCCTCCATTAAAATGTCTGACGCTCAATTTCTCGAGAGCACCTCTCTGTGGCTGCTCGGTCTCACGTTGACCTCTGACTTGAGATGGAACAAATACATTGAGTCAATTGCTTCGTCCACCGGAAGGAAAGTTGGCTCCCTGTGCCGCGCCAGGAAATTTTTCTCCCCGGAATCGATCCTCCAGATCTACAAATCAACAATTCGCCCTTGCATGGAGTATTGTTGCCATATATGGTCTGGAGCCCCTTCTGTTTGCCTCGGGGTTCTTGATAGGCTCCAGAGGCGGATATGCAATATAATTGACCCTGTTCTGGCATCTCGTATACAGTCGCTCTCCCACAGACGTGCCGTCGCCACTCTCTGTCTTTTTTACAAATACTTTCATGGTAATTGCTCCGAGGAGCTGCATTCGCTGGTTCCCAGACTTCATGAATTCAAGCGCCCTACGAGGCTGACATCACGCTCTCACCCTTTCACTGTCGAAACTATTAAATGTAGCCGTCTCTTCTACTCCAATAGCCTCATATCTCGCACCTCTCGCCTGTGGAACTCCCTTCCCTATTCCAGTTTCCCTGAGAGCTATAATCTCCAACTATTCAAATGTAATGTCAATCGACATCTCCAGTTGCCTTGATCTATCCACTATCCTTCTCCTCAACCTTTCCTCTATCAATCCTATCTGATCTTGCTCCAAATCTTCTGTAACCCCTTGCGTCCTAGTGGCTTCTCGCCTTGCTTGGGGTGAAACGCTTTAAAAAAGAAAGAAAAAAAAACAGACGATTTTGCAGACTCTATATAACGTTGGCGAAACGTTGTAGCGAGGTAATTTTGTTAACTGGGCTAAAACCTCACAGTTTTTACAAGGCTCATGGGGCTATGTTAATGAATCTAGGCCAGTGATTCTCGGTTGCTGTGAAACAATTGAACAAAGTGTGAATAGTTTTAAAAGTGTTGCTTGAAGCTGAATGTGTTCAAAGTGACAGCTTGGTCGGTGTTCATGACAAAGAAGAGATTGGCAAATCTGTCGTCGAGTAGGACATTGAGGTAGAATAGTGATTCTCAACCGCCGTGCCACAGCATACTAGTCCTCTTAAGTGTGCCGCGAAATATTCTCACAGCGTACACACACATACACACACATATATCACAGCGTACATATATATGCGTTTGTGTGTGTGTTGTAGTAGTAATTGTATTTGGCGTAGTAATGGTATTTGAATAAATGAATAAGTATTAAACGTTTTTCAAATAATTCTTTTCACTATTCTTCGATTATGTTATTTTAAATACTATGTTTTAATATTTATTTTTTTAAAA